GTTGGGTTTCAGGGAAGTTTTCTCAGGGGTATGAACGATTCAAAACATTGCTAGAGAGTAAATTTGATAAGATCTTAGCTTAAACTTTTCGAACTAGAGTCACAGACGTATGAATACGCCACTGTCGTGATCATAGACAACTATCTCTCTCAACCCTGACCAGTAGGTTTCCACTCTGGCCCTGGAAGAGAAAAAATGCATTATGTTTAAGACTCGTCAGCATTCACAAATCGCCCATAGGTAGGTTTCCACTCCTATGTTTGTTTTGCTCTCCCAAACTAGATCTGACACCGTATGAACACTTTCGTGTCACCAAGCATCTGGATCAAATTGTAGTTCATGACGTTACTCTCATGCAGTAAAAATAAATTCAGAAGAAAAAGTTCTAAGATTCGGCTTCAATAGCTCATGGAATCCTCATCGGATATATGTGTCCCCATCGAAAATCCCTTACACCCGAAAATAAAACTACTCAGACATGATGAACGAAATCAAAAACATAGTATTCAAAAGTAGAACAGAAACCGAAATTGAAAAAGAAAGAACAAGGGTTCAAGAGACAAATCTCTCTCTCTCTCCCTAAAACCTAAAAACAAAAGCTTAAAGTAAAATTCTTCTAAAGTATTTCGTCTCTCCTCTTCTCTCCTTAAAAATGACCTAAATGATAAGTATTTATAGTTTCCAGAATTGAGGCTGAGAAAATGATATGGGCTTCAGAAATGGGCCTTCGAACTCGGAGTTGGCTGGCGGCAGTCGGGATGTGCATGACCGCGGGGAATGGATGGCTGGCCGCGGTCAAGAAGCGTCTGACCGTGGTGAAATGGCTGTTGGCCGCGGGTGAAAATGCTTGCCGTCTGGTTTACGGGACATATTGCTCTTCGCGTATCTTTTGATTGAGCCGTTGGATTGCCAAGCTGTAAAGTGTGCTGGAAAGCTGATACTTCCATCTTTGAGATCTCCAAATTTGAGCTGGATTAAACGGTGAGAAGGCCTGCAATCGGGGGTGAACTTTTGATGGTTTGACTCTGAGCTGAAAATTTGGTCTTCTATCCATTTTGTTAAGCTTTTCCCTAAGTTTCCTGACAAGAGTTTTGGAACTACAAATACTAGAAAAAGCGTGATAAAAGTACTTGAAAGCAATAAAATTCATAGAAAAAATATTTCAAATCGATCCATAAAAGTGGTCAAAATACGGTGTTATCAGCTACTTGGCAATCAGATTACTCCGGATTGGTATGGAAACTTACAGTCGCTGATCTAGAATTGAATCTGGAGCAACAATACTCTCTTAGCTAATCTGGCCTTCCAAACTACGATTTAGGCTGTGTGGCAGGAGATAAATGGGTGGCTGGACCAACAATCTCTTCACTTGACATTGCAACTTGCATGCCCCTTAGATTCCTTGCTTTGTTCTCGTCTTTGTTCATTGTTCTTTTTCCATGGAGACAATACTATCTTCCGCTGCTGGACCCTTCTCTGTAAACTCCCTTCTCATTCAAGCTACTAAGACCTTCACAAGCTGATAACACCATATTTTTACCCATTTTCAATAAGTATTTCTTATGCTATTTTAAAAGTTTTATTTAGTTTTAACTGTTTTGTTATAATTTTCCTATATTTGTAGTTTCAAGATTATTTTTAGATTACTTAGGCAAAAATATTGCAAAGTGGAGAAAAACCATATTTAAGCTTAGCGTCAAACCGTCAGAAGTTCAGTCTCAAATGAAGACCTTCTCACCATAGAGGATGCAGCTGACTTTCCATTGCACTTTACTTGAGGATAATCCAGTACAATTCAATCAAAAGATACATGAAAATCAACCAGCCCGACATTCAGCTGACCCATGGTAAATGATGTGCTACCAGGTGAGAGAACAAGTGCACAGCTAATCAGTTCTAGTACATAGGGATCGAATCCACAGAGATTTGTGTGCCTAGTATTTTTCTACGGTTTCTAAGTTTGTGTCTAGACTAAATCAATTTTAAGGGGGTTGTTGTTTGTCACTGATTAAACTAAAACTAAAGAAAGCAAATGAATCTATCCTAAAAAGCAAGTAGAAAATCGAATGGAAGCAAGATCAAACAAGTAGGGAATCGAACTAAAACAAATAAAATGCAGATTTAAGAAAGCAAGTAAATATCGATTGGTTTGTAAACTATGTCTAAAAATGCTGGACTTTTGGTAACTCTACAGGGATCATAAGTGGTTTCAACACTTGGGATTTTAGATTGGGATTGACGGATATCGAAATATTAGGGTTCTAGAGCTAGAGTTCGGCGGTATGACTACGTTACCGTCGTGATCATAACCAACTGTTTCTCGCAACCCTGACCAGTAGGTTTCCACTCTGGCCCTAGAGGGGAGAAAACGCAAGAGCTGCACAGGACTCGTCAATTGTTACGATTTTGCCGCAGGTAGGTTTCCACTCCTATGGAAAAATTGCCTGTTTCATTCTAGGTCGGATACTTAATGAAAATTTTTGCAACACTAACTATCTAGATCAGATACGAGGTGATCAATCAGATACAAGGTGATCAATCAAGCATACATGCATTAAAGATGAGAATAAACAGAGAACATAGTTAAATTCCCAGAACGAAAAACCTAGATGTCTTAATCGATTATGAGAGCCCCTTTCGGGAATCCTATGCCTAACTCGGGATCTACTCAGCCATGGCTGAAGCCGACATTATCACTGGTTTTAATGAAAACAATCAAAAACAGTAAAGAAAAGAGATGAAAGAAAGCTTCTCTATTGATGAACTCAGAGTTGAACAATCTTCTCTAAAAATCACATAAAACGGCTGGAAAAAAAGGTTTCTGTAAAAGTATGAAAGGTGCTCTCTAAAAACGACCTAAATGACAAGTATTTATAGTCTTGAATACTCCAAGGTCTCTAGGGTTCCAAAATTGAGGCTGAGAAATGACTTGGACTTCAGAAATGGGCTGTTTAAGTCGGAGATGTCTGGCCGCGGTCGCGTGAGGTGTGACCGTGGGGATGAAGGCTTGGCCGCGGTCACATGGCTCTGGCCGCGGTGGATGGGCTGCTGGCCGCGGTCCCTATCAGGGAGATAGGGATTTTTCCCTTGAACCTTTGTTATATATATATATATATATATTATATTTTTATCTATCTATTTCAGTTTATGCATCTATCTACTAGGCTTTCTTTTCTTGCATCATGTTAGAGTAATTCAGTAGTTGGATTTTAAAGAATCCATCGATGGGGATTAACATGTTCAATAAAGATTGTTATTTTCTTAGCCATATTCTAGATCTCATCTTTTCTAAGTTGTACTTAATGCATGAAGTTAGAGTCATGAACTAATCTCTGAATCTAGGTTTAATCAGAGCCACAAAAGTGCTGTATCAGATTGCCATACAAAGCTTCAGAATAACATAGTCGTTGTAGGAGACATAAACTACCTACAACGAAGATATGAGCAAGAATGAATTCAGTTTTGTTAATCCACCAAATCACTTTCTATTCTAGTTCTATGTAGATACTTAGAAATTGCTTAGGATATACAACTGTAGGCTAATTATAAGATACTTAGATATCGATTAGGACATTCAAAAGTTGGCTAATCATCCTATGAGCTTTAGAACCCTAGCATGAATTGAGCATCCCCTGAGATATTCTTGTCGGCCCAACTACTCTTTTATTTTTAAGCCCATATCAATTAGGTCTAGGAAGTTTTACTATTTTTTATTTTACTTTTCCTTTTCTGTGACACAAAAAACCAATAAAAACTCCATTGGTATATTAATCCGTATGTTGGGGTCGGTTTCCACCCCAAGCGGATAAAACAATCTCAAAATGACTAAGTATTGAAGAAAGACAAATTGGCCGAGCCGTCCACAAAACATGGGCCGAGCAGCCCTACGAAGTTAGTGGGCCGAGCTGTGCTCACCAAGACAAGTGGGGGGAGCCGTGGAGACAGATCAGCGGGGAGAGCCGTAAGAAGGACGCAGAGTGGGCTGAGCCGCACTTCAACGTAGTTGGGCCGAGCCGCGCCTCGGTAAGCTAGACCAAGACGCGCTTCAATACGCTTGGGCCGAGCAGCGCCTCGGCGAGGTGGACCAAGTCACATCTCAACTCGAGTGGCGAATGGGCCGAGCCGTGGAGAAGGTTAGATGGGCCGAGCTGTGAGAATAACGGTGAGCGGGCTTAGCAGCGCAAGAAGAGGCATGGGCCAAATCGTTTCCCTAGGTGTTAGGCCGAGCCGGTTTTCCAAGATGGGCCGAACCAAGGCTTTGGAAGTCAAAAGCCCACAGAAGTTCTAGGAGAAGTATTATGACGGTGGCCGCACGAAGCTATAAGGAAATATGCCTAAAATCTCTCCCGAGATTCTCGGAGAGGCGGTTTAAGAAGTTAGTATAAATAAGAAGATTCCTACGATTCATTATGTAACTTTTGCAACCCTAAGGAATAAGAGCAAAATACTTTCTCAGCAACAAAAACTTTCCTTCGATCTTACTGTTCTTGCGATCTACCCTAGAAGTTTCCGATCCCTTAAGTTTTCCTTAACAAATTTTTGGTTGTGCGAGTTTTGGCTCACACAATTTGGCGCCGTCTGTGGGGACACGAAACTTTCTTACTCTAAATCAACAAGACTTTAAGATCCGAAGAACATGGCGAGCAACACCCACGATGATAACAACAACAACGGTAAAGGCGCGGAGAAGGACGCTCCGGCATCGGGCACGACGACGGCAACTATCGAAACCCAACAGGAGATGCGAAACATGATGGCTGCGTTGATGAAGAATATCGACGAACAGGACAAAAGAAACGAGGCGATTACGGAGAGGCTCGACGCGATGGCGGCTGAGCGACTACACCCAACTTGGAGAGCCGGAATTCCCGACCCGATGGATGGAATCCGGAGACGCTTTGATTTCTCAACACCTGCAGAAGCCTCAGGGAGCGGCGCAAGATACCCCTCGGCTCCTCCAATGTTTTGTCCCCTCGACGAACAGACTCCCGCGGGTCAACATGACCGAGCCGCCTCCACTCCGCCGGAACTCAAGGCGACAAGCCGGTGAGGAAGAGAATGATGCGATCGACGTGGACGCCCAGCAGAACGACGGAACCACGAATCCACAACAAACCGGCTCGGCTCGGCGAATAAGTCAAGAAGAGCTCGCCTCGGTACTAAACGGTGTTCGAACTGACAAAGTCTCTGATCCAACTCGCGGCGACAACCAAACCAAGGAAGAAGAAAACCTCCAATGGATCGAGCGACCCCCCCAATCAAAGGGAATGACTCACGCACAAACTCTCGAATTCAAAGAGCTGCGAGCCTCAATGGCTCGGACAGTAGCTGAAATACGCGCCATGAAGTCCCAAGTGCACAACGCAACAAGCGCCGCACCCGAAATTGACCGAATGCTTGAAGAAACTCAGAGAACTCCATTCACTGCAAGAATCACGGTGGCCAGGATTCCGAAGTCGGGGAAGGTGAGAATCCATTTTACGAAGGAACAACCGACCCGAAAGCACACATCACAGCATTTCGGATAGCAATAGGACGAGCCTTCACAAAGAACGCCGCCAAACTGACCGAGCGGGAAGTAGATGCCGGATACTGCCTGCTCTTTGTGGAGCATCTTAAGGGGGCCGCACTCGAGTGGTTTTCAAGACAGGAACGCAATTCATTCGGTAGTTTTCAAAAGCTCTCCGCCTTGTTCCTTAAACAATACTCGATGTTTATGGACAGAGGCACATCTGATGATGACCTGTGGACACTGTCCCAAGGACCAAACGAACCGCTTCGGGATTACATGGCAAGATTCAAGGCAGCCGTGTCCAAAATAGAAGAGATAAGTGACAAGGCCGCGCTCGAAGCTTTGAAACGATCTTTGTGGTACAAATCTGAGTTCTGAGGGGAGATGGCACTCAACACGCCACAAACAATTCAAGGCGCTTTACACCGGTCATCGGACTTCGTCGTAAGAGTTTGGACGAGCAGTACGAAGCAACGAAAGCAGCAATCCGAAGCTCAATTTTGCCGCGCCCCTCGAAGAAGGGCAACCCATCGAACAACACAACAACGCAGAGCTCGGATGAACCTAGAAACGGAGGTGCCCATAACTATCAGGTAGGCACCGGGCGCGGAAGAGGAAAGCCGCGCAACAACACTTGGGTGAGAAAGTCCGCCAACTACGACGAGAAGGCTTTCTGCGAGTATCACCAGACCTACGGGTACTCAACGGCACAATGCCGAACTTTAGGAGCAAAACTCGTGGCTAAGATGGCAGCGGGAGAGCTTCAAAACGTGGTCAACCTCAACCTCGTCCCTAATGAACCACAAGAAAGAGCCGAGCTGAGCGGGGCGACTGAACCCGCGAATCCTCCCTGACGAGGCGATAACTCCAAGCGTGACAAGAGAGGCGAACCCGAAGAGCGACCCGAGCCGAGGCAAATGATCAATATGATCATGGGTAGATCTCAATACTACCAAGATATCGTGTCCTCTATCAAAGCCTATCAGCGCCGAGCCGAAGCGAAAGAGAATTGGACAGAACCGACCGACATCCCAAATACAGTGATCTCCTTCGCCGAGGAGGAAACGGCAGGAATCGATAGACCCCACAACGATCCGTTGGTAATTGAGTTAACAATCAGGGATCATGACGTAGCGAGGGTGCTCATCGATACTGTGAGTTCGGTGAACGTCATATTCAGGGAGACACTCAGAAGAATGGGAATCGACCTCTCTGAAGTGGAAGCAATCCCCAAACCTCTAACCGGATTTTCAGGAGAAACGACGATGACCATGGGAACGATCAGGCTCCCCGTGGTAGCTGGCGGAGTCACTAAGATCGTCGAATTCTGCGTCACCGATCACCCGGCAATCTACAATGTGATTATGGGAACTCCATGGATCAACGGGATGGGGGGCGGTACCCTCCACCTATCATCTCTGCCTTAAATTCCCAACTCCAGCGGGTGTCAAAACGATCTGGGGGAGTCAGAAGGAGTCACGAATATGCTGCCTAGCAGAACACAAGCTAAGGAACCCCGTCACCGACGCACGAGCAGACATAGACCGCCAAAAGATGAAGACAGACCGAGAGCCGGCAAACGAGCTCTCGAAACTCTTATAGCAATTACAGATTGCGGAGAGTCGCGAAACACGCGCCGAGCCGGTATGTGATGCGGTGGACTCGGTGTGCATAGACGAGGCGCGTCCGGAGCGATGCATCGAAATTGGAACAAAACTAGAAGAGCCTCTGAGTAACGAACTGCTTTCCCTCCTTAAGGAGAACGCCAACACTTTTGCCTGCACAGCGGAAGATATACCAGGCATAAGCATCGACGTGACCTGTCACGAGCTGAATGTGGACCCGACCTTTAAACCAGTCAAGCAGAAAAGAAGGAAGCTCGGCCTCGAACGAGCTAAAGCAGTTAACGACGAAGTCGAGAGGTTACTCAAAGTAGGATCAATCGCCGAGGCCAAATATCCGGACTGGCTCGCGAATCCGGTGGTTGTGAAGAAGAAGAACGGCAAGTGTCGGATCTTTGTGGATTTCACTTACCTCAACAAGACGTGCCCAAAAGACAGCTTTCCCTTGCCACATATCAACCGGCTCGTCGAAGCCACTGCAGGAAATAGACTGTTGACATTTATGGACGCGTTCTCTGGCTACAATCAGATCCTGATGCATCCTGATGATCGGGAAAAAATGGCATTCATAACTGATCGCAGGATATACTGCTACAAAGTCATGCCGTTCGGGCTCAAGAACGCAGGAGCAACATATCAACGGCTCGTCAATAAAATGTTCGCGACTCAGCTCGGAAAAACCATGGAAGTATACATCGACGACATGCTGGTCAAATCACTCAAGGAGGAAGACCACGTCGCGCATCTACGGGAATGCTTCGAGCGATTGAACAAGCACAACATAAAAGTAAACCCAGCGAAGTGCAGATTTGCGGTCACCTCGGGAGAATTCCTCGGCTATCTGGTAACTCACCGAGACATAGAAGCAAACCCCAACCAGATCAAGGCATTAATTGAGATGCCCTCTCCAAGGACGAAGCGCAAAGTGCAAAGGCTTACAGGAAGAGTCGCCGCGCTAAACAGGTTTATTTCCCGTTCCACTGATAAGTGCTTGCCCTTCTACGACACCCTCCGAGGAAACAAGAAATTCGAGTGGGACGAGCGATGCGAAGCAGCTTTCCAAGAGTTGAAGAATTATCTGGCAAGCCCACCAGTCTTAGCAAAACCAGTCGAAGGAGAGCCGCTCTTCCTCTACATCGCCGTGTCTACCACAGCTGTGAGCGGAGTGCTTATCAGAGAAGAACAATCCAAGCAAAAAAACCATTGTCTACATCAGCCAGACTCTGGCCGAGACCCGCTACCCCCAGATCGAGAAGGTCGCCCTAGCCGTCGTAGTCTCGGCTCGCAAACTGCGCCCGTATTTTCAATCACATTCGATTGTTGTGCTCGCTACACTTCCGCTGCGCTCGATCCTACACAGCCCGAGCCAATCCGGTCGGCTTGCCAAGTGGGCCATAGAGCTGAGCGAATACGACATCGAGTATCGGAACAGGTTGTCTGCAAAGTCACAGGTGCTCGCAGATTTTCTCATTGAACTTCCAGCCGACCCTAGATGAAGTATAGACGCTGCATGTTGACGGCTCGTCATCCAAACACGGCTCAGGAATAGGGGTCCGCCTCACCTCTCCCACAGGAGAAATACTGGAGCAGTCGTTTCGCCTAAACTTCCACGCCTCGAACAACAAAGAAGAATACGAAGCACTAATCACCGGTATACGACTAGCGCAAGGAATCGGGGTTCGAAAGATAAGACTTTTTGTGATTCACAGCTCGTAGCATGCCAGTTCAATGGAGAATATGAGGCAAAGGACGAATGGGAGCTTACCTCAAGGTGGTCCGAGAGTTGGTACAAAAGTTCGACGAGTTCGAACTCACGCAAATTCCCCGAGGAGAAAAAACCTTGGCCGACGCCTTGGCAGCACTCGCTTCGACCTCAGACCCAGATCTCCGACGGACGATCCCAGTCGAATTCATCGAACGACCTAGCATCGAAGAAGTAGAAGGAGTTCAACTGATAAATCCTCCTGAACAAGAACCAGAGGATTACGAAGCCATTCCTATGGACAAAGACGCCTTACCAGCCGAGCCAGAGTACGGCTGCGACAAAGAATGGCTCGGAGCTATCCGAGTGTATATCGCTGATGGAGAGGTGCCAACCGACAAATGGGAAGCCCGCAAATTAAAAGCCTAGGCTGCACGGTATGTCCTCGTCGATGGCGAGGTGTTTAAATGGAGATTTTCAAGACCTCTCATGACATGCGTAAAAGGACCGGAAGCAAGAAAGATCATGCACGAAGTGCACAGCGGCGCGTGCGGGAACCATTAATGCGAGAAGTGTCATTGGAACGCTTCAACAATTCATCAACCTACCGAGCTGCTCGCGTTAATTTCGTCACCTTATCCGTTCATGAGATGGTCGATGGACATCGTCGGACCTCTACATCGCTCGAAGCAGAAGCGTTTTCTACTCGTTCTCACGGATTACTTCTCCAAGTGGGTCGAGGCCGATTCCTACGCAAGCATAAAGGATGTTCAAGTCGAACACTTCGTCTGGAAGAATATCATCTGCAGACACAGGGTCCCCTACGAGATAGTCATCAACAACGGATCCCAGTTCATCTCAACACGCTTTGAAGCCTTCTGCGAGAAGTGGGAAATCCGTCTAAGCAAATCTACGCCAAGATACCCTCAAGGGAACGGGCAAGCCGAAGCGCCCAACAAGATGATCCTCGACGGTCTAAAAAAGAGGCTCGACGCCAAGAAATGACGATGGGCAGACGAACTCGAAGGAGTCATTTGGTCTCATCGGACGACTCTACGCCGAGCCACCGGGGGAACTCCATTCGCCTTGGTCTACGGAACAGAGTGCGTAATTCCCCCCCGAGGTGGATTTCCCAGGTATTCGACGAAGACTTCTACCAGGACAGGAGGGCTTGAACCACTTAATGTTGCTAGATGAGCTCGATATAATCAACGAAAAGCGCGACCACGCTTTAATCCGAATCCAGAATTATCAACAAGCAACGGCGAGATACTACAACTAAAACGTTCGTAGTCGAAGATTCAAAGAAGGGGAGCTCGTCCTCCGAAAGGTCTTCCAAAACACTGCCGAGAAGAACGCAGGAAAGCTCGGAGCAAATTGGGAAGGCCCTTACAAGGTTACAAAAGTGGTTCGTCCAGGAGTCTACGAACTCGCGACGCTAGCTGACGAAGTGATTCCAAGATCATGGAACGCAATGCATCTAAAGAAGTATTATCACTAAAGTTACAGCACGGTTAGCATGAACTACGGGACGGCTTGATCCCGGCAAAGGGTACGTAGGCAGCCCGTCCTCGGACGGGTTCAGCTGTCCCCCCTCCTAAAAAGGGGGGGGGGAGTGGGTACGTATACACATACCTTCTTTAACTCTACAATTTTAGCTCGCCCACTTAGGAACATCGCCACTTCGGCCCATTTTCAGTTCGTTTTTCATCTACTTATTTCATGTTCACCTCGGATTTCTAGTTCGTTCAGTATCGCTTCGGCTAGTTTCTCATTCTTTTTGAATCAGCAACTTATGTTATATTTCGCCTCGGATTTTTAAATTCTTTCACTCATAACTTCGGCGAGTAATCATACCACTTCGACGTGATATCATGACCTGATTGCCTCGGACCTTTATTAGTCCTCAGTTTCAGTTCGGCAAACTAAACCTCCGAACGCCTCGTCTCGTTGCTGGCCACAACGGGGCAACAAATACAAAGTTCTCTAAACGGACTTTTACCACCTTTCCTAGAACGAGGGTGCAAGTTACATCCTCTATGGATAAAAATTAAAGCGCGCTATACAAATATCAGACCAAAAACGTATCGGTCGCCACAGTTCATTATCGCACACGAGATTATAAGTCGAGACTACATCGCTTTCTCTAAAACCGAAGTGAACTCTTAGAACTCGACAAAACACACTCATCCTCTTGGAAAACGCCGGTCTACAGTCAAATTCAACGAGACTACCAGATCATCCTTGGTTGACCAAAACAAAACATGCAAAGAGAAAACGCCTCGTCGTTAAACACGGCTCGGCATTGCCAGCAAAAGTTGCCTTGATATTATCATTTAAAACTTTCCAGCGTCACCTAAAAAGGAAAGACACTCCACAAAACTAACTCCCATCTCAGGATTTAGAACCCAAACAAGATCCTTAACAACTCACCTCTTAGCCCGTATTTCTATCGATTTCGAAGAACTCGGCTAAAGAAGTAATCAAAATCATTCTCGACACAACAGTTTTCATCCTTGACAACTTTCTCTAAGCCAACAGTTTTCATAGATATTTTTGCAGATCGTCAAAGATAAGTGCAAGGCTAAGGAAAAGAAAATATATCCATAAGCAAAAATAAGAGTCAAGTGGATAAAGCCATCCAGGCACCGGTTACACCAAAAAGTTCAAAAGCAAATCATCCAAAAGCCTAAGTACAAAAACATACGCGACGAACGGTAAGGGAAAGCAGAGAGTATCAGGTCGCAGACTGCGTCTCGCGCTCAGCAAGGAGGTTCGAGAGGGCCGGTGTCCCCGCGTTCGATCCGGTCGGATCAAGGACACCCAGGTTGGCCGCTGTCACTTCGAGCGGCTCGTTTCCAATGCTGGTGTCTACCGAGTCCGGGATACAGGAGAGAAAACCAGCTCGCCTTGAATCTCGGAGGCAATGCGCTCATACGCCTCATCGTCGGCGTACTCGCTCTCCCAGCTCTTCAGCTTCGCCTCCTCGTCATCGAGCGTTGGGGCGTCCGGCTTCTCCAGGTCGGAAATCATCGCGAGATTGCCTTTGATCTGCCCCAGATCGTTCTCATCATTTTTGGCCTTCTCGAGCTTGGCCAAACCTTCCTCTACTTTGGGGAGGCGCTCCTGAAACTTAGCCGTAAGCTCCCGCCTCGCCTCCTTTTTCGCCCGCTTGACCTTGGTGTCAAACAAGGCGTCCTTGGCTTCGATACGCCTCTTGAGCATCGCCACCTCGGCGCTTTTGGCTCTCCTCGCCTCCTCGAGGCGAATGGTCGAGGCGGAGACCTTGTCAATATTGGCGCGCAGAACAATCTTCTCCTCTTCCAGCCTGGACGCCCTGGCCATCGCCTCGTCCAGCTTCACCTTTGACGCCGCGGTCTCGTTCCAGGCCTCGTCCAAGCGATGTTCGACCTTAGACAGGTCTGCCTCGTACTCAGTTATTAGCTCGTTAATGGCCGCAACAAACTGCAAGGGATAATCCTCATTAAACACTTAGTAAGAATTCACGAAAGTAGAGGAGATCGAATAGAATATACCTTGGTACCGCGCTGCGCCATCGCGCCGTACGACCTCGGCCTCCTCAGCTTCTCCGGAGGAGGAAGACGCGTGGTCGCGTTATTAACACGCGCAAACATCACTGCCGAGGCGTCGGGGTCGTCAACGACCAGTTTGCGCGCAGCAGGATCCCCGGGTGTCGGCTTGCGCTTCTTTTTCGACGGCTCGTCTTTTTGAGCGACGATGCCTTTCCCCTTGTCAGCGGCCGAACGTTTTCAGCTAGGGCCGTGTTTCTGTACAACCAAAGTCGGCGGCCTTGATGGCTTCAGAAGAGTTAGGATTGCAGAGTTTGAAGGAGTTTTACTCCGCGCCGCCGAGTCGTCCTTAGACGCCTCGGGGATAATTTCGCCCGGTTCCAGCTCGGGCGCTGCTACTTTCTCAGCCGCCTCGGCAACGTTTACCTCTGCGACCCGAACCGTGTCGTCACCTTCACGGCTCGGCAGATCGGTCTGAGGAATCGCCTCGGACTCTGTTCTAGCCGCTTCGGCGGCTCGCCTCGTGGCTTCTTCTTCTTCACGCCTCTTCCTATCTCTCAGAGCGATTATCACCATCTTTTCTCGTGTATCTCTTGAGGAGCTGGAAGATGAAGAGCTGACAGGGACTCCGGCAAGAATAGCTCGCGCCTTTTCTTCTCTCTCGAGGGTAAAATTCTTTCTCCAGTTAACCTTCCGAGCCGAAAGGGAGTTTCGAACGATAAAAAGGTCGTCGGGAATCGGGGGAAGAACGTTCCAAACTGCAAAACAACGCAAAAAAAAAAGAGATTCAGCAAAGGAAGTTGGTCCCCAGGTGGTCTTGGTTCTTCGAACGTAATCCTCGCCGACCGATGCCTCGTTCACCAAGACGTAGAAGAAACGTTCAGTCCAAAATTGATCTTTGCTTGGAAAACTGCCTATAATCCGGCGATTGGACTTGTTGGAAATATAAAACATATCTCCCTTCGGAGCTTTCCTGATTTCCAGCAAGTTCAGCAGGTGATTCAGCTCGATATCGAGCCCGCACTCAAAGCTTCGAACTAAAATACCGATCATATGCCGCAGTCCCCTCGGCATGATCTGCCCGATCGAGATCCCATGTTTCCAGAGGTATTCAAGGATAATTTCAGGGATCGGGAACCAGAGAAAACAGAGCTCGAAGAACACCTCGTATAGAGTGAAGTGATTCTCGGGAGGCTTGTCGGCTCAGTCGTTCTTCTCTGGAACGATAAACTCCACCACCTCGGATATCCCGAAGCGACGCCTCAACGCCTCGAGTGAGTCAGAGGAGGAGAGCGTAGAACTGGGCGGGTCAGGTTTTTGTCTTTTTACTCGCTGTTCCCGCCTAGATGAAGAAGCGCCTCGGGACGCCATGAGACGTTCTAATTCACGCTTCGCCTCGAGTAAATCAAAGGGAAATGCCTCCTCCTCGGCTTTGACTGCGGCACGGTTAATATCTTTGTCAGGAGTAGGAACCTGGGGACGGCTCGTCGAAACCGACGGCTCGTCATCCGGAGAGCCGACGTCTGGCGGATTTGTATGATTCGACGCCTTGTCACTCCCAGGTGAACGATTGGAAGGGCTCGGCAAGGCAGACGCCTCAGAAGATTCTGTTGTACCTCTCGCCTCGGCATCTACGCGGCTCGGCTCATAATGAAAAAGCGAATCCAGCGAATCGTCAGAGCGGCTCGACATAATTTACAACTTATACAAGAATTACAGCACGACGCGGCGAACCTCCGCCGGAAAAAGATTTGGAACGGCGGAGACCTCGGAACCCTAGCCGGAAAATAAATAAACTAGAGAGAGAAAGAAGAGAGAAGGGAGAGCTACCTTTTAGTGAAAACGAGTAAGTCTGAAGATAATGAGGAAGAATGAAGGAGCTCACCCATTTATAGGAAAACCGAAGCGCGTGAGTTCCGTGTGAACCTCGGAAACCGTCTCACGGCGCGTGGGATCCGCAGCGTATTAACTAATTCGAACTGTGTCGGTTACACGCGCCAATAAATCAGGAACTTTCTTTCGGAGACCAACGGTTGGGATACCTGAGTTTTCAGCCAATATCTCGCCACGGTAAACGCCTCGTCGTTAGCGAAACGGCTCGGCAATAACTTTCTCTCGAAACGCCTCGTCGTTTAAGAAACGGCTCGGCATTAACTTTCTCTTGAAACGCCTCGTCGTTAACGATTCGGCTCGGCACAACCTTCTCAAAACGCCTTGCCGTTTATTCGGCTCGGCATAGTCTTCACAGAACGCCTCGTCATTAAATTCGAATCACGGCTCGGCAATACTAAACAGAATCGCCTCGTCCTCAGCACCTTCTTAAAACGCCTCGGCATCCTCAGCACCTTCTTGAAACGCCTCGGCATCCTCGGTACCTTTTGGGAACGCCTCGGCATCCTCGGCACTCTTTGGGGACGCCTCGGCATCTTTATTTCCAAAACACCTCACCTGGGCTTATGCCGCAACAGCTTGACTCGATGGTTTATCCTACGGTCAGGAGTAATGGACCTCGTCACTCTCGCCTCCGAAACTGACGAGCTGGGGGGCTAACTGTTGGGGTCGGTTTCCACCCCAAGCGGATAAAACCATCTCAAAATGACTAAGTATGGAAGAAAGACAAATTGGCCGAGCCGTCCACAAAACATGGGCCGAGCTGCCCTACGAAGTTAGTGGGCCGAGCTGTGCTCACCAAGACAAGTGGGGGGAGCCGTGGAGACAGATCAGCGGGGAGAGCCGTAAGAAGGACACAGAGTGGGCCGAGCCGCACTTCAACATAGTTGGGCCGAGCCGCGCCTCGGTAAGCTAGACCAAGACGCGCTTCAATACGCTTGGGCCGAGCCGCGCCTCGGCGAGGTGGACCAAGTCACATCTCAACTCGAGTGGCGAATGGGCTGAGCCGTGGAGAAGGTTAAATGGGCCGAGCTGTGAGAAGAACAGTGAGCGGGCTTAGCAGTGCAAGAAGAGGCATGGGCCAAATCGTTTCCCTAGGTGTTAGGCCGAGCCGGTTTTCCAAGATGGCCCGAACCAAGGCTTTGGAAGTCAAAAGCCCACAGAAGTCCTAGGAGAAGTATTATGACGGTGGCCGCACGAAGCGATAAGAAAATATGCCTAAAATCTCTCCCGAGATTCTCGGAGAGGCGGTTTAAGAAGTTAGTATAAATAAGAAGATTCCTACGATTCATTATGTAACTTTTGCAACCCTAAGCAATAAGAGCAAAATACTTTCTCAGCAACAAAAACTTTCCTTCGATCTTACTGTTCTTGCGATCAACCCTAGAAGTTTCCGATCCCTTAAGTTTTCCTTAACAAATTTTTGGTTGTGCGAGTTTTGGTTCACACACCGTATATTAATCTTGGTTTAAAGTTTTTGTAGAATAGACAATCTCTTTGTGGATCGATACTCATTAGTTTGAGAATATCGAGTAAAATGGTGGGACAAAACAGTTGATCTGTTACCAACCTTGAAAAATGGATACAACCCATTACCAAATTAAGCAATTTGTTGCAATAAGATCCCGAGCACTACCACCTGGTCAAAAAAAACTCATCAACTCCACCTCTAAAAAACCAAACAGTCCACCGGAGTCAACAACTTTATCCTTAGGATCCAAGAAAAGCAAAGGAAAAGAGAAAATCGAGAAAATAATAGAAGAGATCGCTATGCAAATATCTTCCTCCGATGATGAAGACGATATTACATAAGACACTACACAAAACGAAGACCCATGCGGCAGTTTACTATCCCACAACCCCCTTTAATATGTAAACATCTATTGTAAAATATAAAATGTAAAATGTGAAGAAAAAAAAACCAAAAAGGAAGAAAACAAAGAAACGAGTCTCAAAAGTCTGCAGAAATATTCAAAGAAGAAACAAAATCAACAATCAAGTTGGTAGAAGAATCATAGAAAAGAAGAAGAAAACAAGATTATTAATCAAGACAACATCATCAGCCAAGAAGAAAGAAGACAACATCGATAATCCAGAAAGAGATAGCATCTTCAATCACAGCAACATCAAGGCAGAGATAAGTCTGATCAAAAGAACCCTCAAGACAAAAAATATCAAGATTACTCAGCATTCTCAAACACAATATCAAGATACATATATCATCATTTAGTTTACGAAAGTTTTAGCAACTTCTTTGTATAAGTAAGAGAGAAATCTTGGAGAAGAGTGCATAGTGATTTTTTGGTGAGACATGACTTACAAATTCTCTGTACATTTCTATACTCTCTAAAGTTTTCATCATTGTATTTTTTAATCTTTGTATTTCCCTTCTTGTATACAAATCAAGTTTAATAAGTAAGTTTTAATCATAATTCTTTTTTTTAATCAAACTTTAAAAATTTCTTATAAAATTATATCTAAGTTCTTGTATAAGTTTATAAGAGTGTGTTACCATTTGACACACTTTTTGTGTATTAATGTCCTTCATAGACATGTTTGTCTATTAATGTCCATCATAGACACTTTTGATACTTTATACAAAAGAAAATCCCCAAAAAAACTTCTCTCATCAACACATAATTACATACCTTTATTTTCTCTTTATTTGTGATTACATTAATATCACACACCCTATATGTTTTGTTTTCCTTATTTATTTCTTATTACAAAAACAATCGAACAATTATTTCTACAATATGAATTATATTTCTTTTTTCTTAATACATTGATACCCATTTTATAATTTTTTATTTAAAAAGAATTTATCGTTTATGGATAGAACACATGCGTATCCATATAGTTGTGTACATATGAACACAAATATATAGATATGTATGCATATCCACGTGCATATAGCATATGTGGATATAACTATATATATAGATACACATGAAAATTTACATACGTACGTATCCATATAGTTGTGTACACATGAACACTATTATATAAATATGTATGCTTATCTACGTGCTTATGACATACGTGGATATAACTATATGGATACACATGTATATTTACGTATTTATGGTACATATATACGTAACTATATAGATATGTATGTATCTGTTGTGAATTAGTTTATACATCTGGAATTTTTTTTTTTTTAAAAAAAGTTTTATCTGAGAAAAATCGATGAGATAAAAAAATATATACCAATGAAAAATGAATTTAAAGATAAAGTGGAAAAGAATAGAGAGAAAAAAGGTAAAGAGTACTTAGAAATTGAATAGACGAGGGTAATAGTAAAAAATAATTACTAAAATAAGGAGAAGTAAAAAATAAGTGTGCCAAAACACTTTGGTGTCTATTCAATTTGGAGAATTTCCCCGGCAGATACCTTGCTCCATGCAAAAGTGGAAGCAGAAAGTTGGAGAATCGCGAACCAACCCGAAGACGGTGATGTCACAGAAGGTGGAACGATTGTCCCCCCTCCTCCTCCGATATCTCTTCCCTAGGACCAGCGTTTTCTGATATGTTGGATTGATGCTTCTTGGATCAATCACGGACCGGTTAGTGGCCTCGGATGGAACTTCGAGGATAGCAGGGAAAATGAGATTTTCGGACACCGGGGATGCCACAGAAGCCTCTCAGTCCTTCATGCCGAGATGGACAGCCTCCTATGGGCTATGTCATGCTTGAGAGAGATACATATTATTTCGGTTTATTTCCAGACTGATTGTTAGGACCTTGTGAACATGAATGAATCTCCTGAAGATTGGCCTTCCTTTATGACAGAGCTGAAATCTTTCCATATCTTTGAAGAGAATTTCTCGAAATTCACTTTGACTTATATCCTCAGAAGTCTAAATGTCTGAGCGGATAGTTGATAACCGTATTTTGACAACTTTTATGGATCATAATCATGTCTTATGCAGGTGTTTTAACTTTGTTTTCACTGGTTTTTAAAGTGTTTTCACTGTTTTAGAGTTTCAAAAGACTTTTCAGGAAACTTGGGCAAAAGATATGCAATTTAGAACAAATGAGCAATTATGGATAAATGGAGACCATCAGAAGTATGACAAGCGATGAAACTTTCTCACTGTCTGATCACCCCCAAAATTTGAGACAACACAGAAGATTCAACCAGCTTTCTAATGCACTTGGTTTGGAGACAATCCAACGGT